GCTGGGTGCCTCCATCTTCGTATCGGTCAACTATAACCTAGTGAACGCCTCCAAGGAATTGGGGCTTATTGTCAGAAGTGCCGACCACGCTCGCCCCAGAGAATCCGGCGATACGCTTGGCGTCTGGGATGGCGAGCAATTCGTGCTGGTGCTACAGGACACCTATAGTTGGTGGAACATTGCTAAACTGATTTGGCGCTATGGATTGTCACCCATTCGCACTCAGAACTTAATGAAAAGCACAGTCAACAAGTTTCTTCGACTTTATGACTCGCCTTACTTCCCATTCAGATCGCTTACCTCGGCTGCTGCCGCGGTTGACTTGCTGAATACCACGTCAGTCCCGGGAGACGCTCTTCTTCAGAACGGCGGTATATCCGCGGAGTTTTCGCGGGAGGTGATCCAGGCGAGCACGCGGGTCAACTACGGGCAGAATCTACCTCTGATACACGGTCTCGAGACGATGGTTTGCATGGCTACCGACGGAGCGGTTTCTGTTGAGGGCGGCAATTGGCAGATTTTCGATGGCATGCTGAGGTCCTCAGAGGCCGATGTCAGGGTCAATCACAGTGTGACATCCATTCAACGGAATACCGACGGCACATTGACCGTCGGGTTCAAGGCTACCGAAGTCGAAGAAAGCTCCGTGTTCGACGAGGTAGTTATCGCGGGCCCATTACAATATTCAGGCATCACTATCGAACCACCCCTCGAGCAGGTCCCCGATGAAATCCCCTACGTGAAGCTCCACGTGACCCTCTTCTCCTCACCACATCGCCTTTCTCCACAGTTTTTCAACCTCCCCTCTAACAGGCGCGCTCCTGGGACCGTTCTCACGACTCTTCCCCGCGGGGTGGATTTGGGCTCCAGCAAGGCCGGCGTCGGCCCAGCCGGTTTCTGGAGCATCAGCACCCTTCACACTGTGCAAGCTCCGCGTAGCGACGGTACCCACGAGAAACAGTACGTGTACAAGGTGTTCTCGCCCGAGCGTCTCACGGCGTCGTTCGTGGGAGCTATCCTGGGTCTCGAGCACAAAGGATACCCCGCCAATTCGACAATCGGAGACCTTGCAAAGGATAATGTAAGCTGGCACCATGAGAAAATCTGGAACCCGTACCCGTTCCTCTACCCGCGGGTTACCTTCGAGGACACCATGCTTGCGCCGAATCTCTGGTACACGGGCGGCATTGAGAGCTTCATCTCAACCATGGAAACCAGTGCCCTGATGGGTAAGAATGTTGCTTCGCTGATCTCGCAGTCATGGGGGGATAAGGGCAGCGATAGTCAGGAAACGACGCGACAGGAAAAGACTGAGCTCTGAGAAATTTGAATTTGTATTCTTTTAATTTCGCCTGTCACTGCAGGTATGAGATGTGCCTTGGATAATATATAAATGCGTGCCCATGATAGTGGAAATAAGCATAAACAACGATCCTTCGCCTGATAATATTACTGAAACATGATCATGTAGATTCGAATTCACTCGTCCCGTGTGGAAAACGGACGCTGAAGATGAGAAGTTGAGAGAAGCTCGGCAGCACTTGAAGTGGAGGAGATGAGGACGGTTGGATTACTACAATTAGATGGTTATGAAAGGGAAGATCTTGAAATCATTAATATTTTTTAGTTCATTCATAGACTACCTTAGTCAAGATGATCGATGGTAGCTAAAGCTCAGTTTAAGCCCAGACAGTGAACCTTTCGTCCTGTTGAAGAAATGTTGAATATTTGTTCATGCTCATGTATACCGTATCCCATGACCCGCGTAAGGTTGAAAAAGCAGACCTGTAAAAACCCCTGTAACGTACTCCCGGCGACCCATTTTTATACGCAATGATGTTGAACTCGTCAAAAGCCTGAAGAAAACCAGAAAAGCATATTTTGGTATCATGTGAGATTATTCGTTCTGCCCTGATGTTTAAACAGGCAGAGGGAAGGTGCTGGCCCACTCGGCGACCTCCTTGCGGAGAGCGAGGATCTCGGGAACAGAGCCGGAGGCAACCTTGGCCTTGAAATCCTTGAGCTTGTTGGCCTCCTTGGGCAGGTCAGCCTGGATGCTCTTGCAAAGGTTGATGACCTGGTCGATGTAGCGAGCGACGCGCTTGAAGTCCTCCTCGCCCATACCACGGCTGGTCATAGCGGGAGCACCGATACGGATACCGCAGGGAGTCAGAGCAGACTTGTCACCGGGAATGGAGTTCTTGTTGCAGGCAATGTTGATCTGCTCGAGGACAGCCTCGACACGAGCACCATCAAGACCCTTGAGGCGGAGGTCCAGCAGGACCATGTGGCTGTCGGTGCCGTCAGAGACGAGCTTGTGGCCGAGAGCCTTGAACTCGATTTCAAGAGCCTTGGCGTTCTTGATAACCTGCTCCTGGTACTGACGGAACTCAGGGGTGGCGGCCTGCTTGAGGGCAACAGCCAGAGCAGTGATGGTGTGGTTATGGGGACCACCCTGGTGACCAGGGAAGACGGAGAAGTTGATAGGACCCTCAAGATCATACATGATGTCCTTGCCGGTCTTGGGGTCAGTGCTGCGCACGCCCTTGCGGAAGAAGATCATGGCACCACGGGGACCACGGAGAGACTTGTGGGTGGTAGTGGTAACAACATCGGCGTACTCGAAGGGAGAAGGAATGACACCGGCGGCAATCAAACCGGAGATGTGAGCCATGTCGACGATCAGGTAAGCGCCAACCTTGTCGGCGATCTTGCGCATACGGGCGTAGTCAATGAGACGGCAGTAGGCAGAAGTACCAGCAACCAAGCACTTGGGACGGTAGAGCTCAGCGTTGGCCTCGAGAGTATCGTAGTCAATGATGCCGGTCTCAATGTTGACGCGGTAGGGGAATGTCTCAAAGTAGGTGGAAACAGCAGAGATCCTGAGCAAGTTAACATACGGTTCGTCAACAGAAGAAAACGAGGAGACCTACTTTTTGGCAGGAGTCTGGTAACCGTGACTCAGATGACCTCCGTGGGGAAGATCCAGACCCATGAGACGCTCATGGGGGCGCATGAGAGCCTGATAGACCTGCAGGTTGGCAGGGCTACCACTGAGGCACTGAACGTTGACACCCCACTTCGCGGGGTCGAGGTTGAAAGCCTTCAGGGCACGAGCCTGGCAGGTGAGCTCCATGGCATCAATGTGCTCGTTACCACCGTAGTAACGAGCACCGGGGTAACCCTCAGAGTACTTGTTGCACATGGGAGAGCCGAGAGCATCGAAAACGGCACGGGAAGTGACGTTCTCGGAGGCAATCAGGAGAATGGACTCGCGCTGACGCTTGATCTCTTTTTCCTGTTGGGAGAAGCGTGGATTAGCCAAAATAGCCCAGTATTATTCATCGTCAACCTCAATTGAAAGGAGGAAGAAATGCAGTAGAGCATACCATGATCTGAGCAATCTCAGGGTCGGAGTCGACCAGAGACTTCTCCATTTGCTACAACGAATGAGTCAGTATTGTGAGCTCGGAAGACAAAATCTCAAGGAGGAGGATTCACCTCGCGGTGAGCCTGCGACAAAGCGTAGGTGGCCATTGTGAGTGATGAAATTGTCCAAATGAAGGAAAAAGGCTGGACAGAGGGTAAAGTGAGTTGATAGGGATGAAGAGAGAAGGGAAGAGAGGAGGAAAAAAGGTTGGGAACGAAGGCGAAGAAAAGAGGACAGGAAAATCCGGTGATGGTGGGGGGAGTTGGTGGGCGGGATGGGTGCCTCAGGAGTCAAGAAGCCAATTAGCGGGGACTTGGTGCTGCTGTCAACGTTCGGGGCCCGAACGACATCGGAGCTTGATGAAGTCAACCGGAGAAAATTTGTTCTTCAAATTGGAAGTCATCAAATTTGCTCTATTCTTGACTAATTGCGATTAGACTAGTTCCTCCCTATTCCGAAGTCGACAAGAAACAGCACCCAGGCTTAGATAATCTCAATATGTCATTGAACTGGACGCTTGCCAAACATTTGCCTCTACGGATTGGAAAATAATCTTGAATCATATAAATCAATATCAATTGCGTCAATACTAGTAGCCCGACCATTACTTCCAAGAACCTAAAGAGGCCGGCGACTCAAGAAAAAGTTTTGAGATTTCAACCGTGGTTCCCTGGCGATCTGATCCGTAATGCTCCCTCCTTTTGAGGTCGTCATCTGCGCATTGATAGGACTCTTGACTCTCCAAAGTATGCTAGGTAATGGGTGATCCTGATCCAAGACGCACCAGCAATTGACGGCCGCCCAATATGGGCAGTAGGACCCATTCAGTGCTCGACGTAGATAGCAGTCTCAGCGACAGCGGCTTTGTCATTCAGGCCGGTATCGTCATTGCGAGGATTGCCTGTCGCCCTCCAGGTCGCGACACCCGAACCCAACCATCAGCATTTGCCGACGAGTTAAGGAATCTAGCCCCGGTCTGTCCTTAGGAGTATCAGCTACCTGGTCAGCAGTGTCACCAACGAGAGCCAAGGCAATATAGTAGCCATCTATGCTGTGCCAAGCCAGTGACGATCAGGCAGGTATCTGCGGGCTAGGGAGCATGCACCCGCTGTTCGGCCTGCAGGGTGTGAGCTGGGGACCGTGGTGGCCGAGTTCGAGTGCCAAATCCATAGTCCTAAACCGATCAATTGTCAAGGACCAATGCAAGATTTTTGACTTGCTGGTATACTAATATATTTTTTCCCCTCCTGAAGTGAGGTGATACCATCAGAGCCAGCCATCGAGAGGGAGTAGAAAGGACCGAAGAAACATGTCTGTAGCAACAGCTTTGAGCCAAGGTTGGCCCAGCAGCTGATGGCACGACACTATGGAGAGCTTGTATATTGTCTCAGTGGACTTCTGGCCAGAGTCAAGTCTTCATGTACTATCTGTCGCGCGGGCAAAAGGAGACCGACAGCCAATTGTACGTCAAAGTCTGCTCGAGGCAGCCAACTCAATGGGAATTACTCCATGCAAGGCGACAGGTTTATCGCTAAGATCCGTTTTCCTCTTCACGCTGTTGAACCGGCCATCAAGCCCCCGTGTCTGCCCTCTTCCCGAAAGCTGAAAGGACCGCGTTCAACCTGGCGATACGATTCTCGAGCTCCTCAATCTCCTTCTCCTGCTCAGCGACCGAGCGACCGATGTCAGGTAGGCTTTCAACAACCGCGTGTGCCTTTTGTATGCGAATCTTGATCGAGCTTGCCTCTGTCGGCAAATTTTTCGCACTCAATGGCGCAAGTCCACTCCCAGTTGCCGAAGTCTGTTGCTGAACACCTTGGCCCGGACCCGACGACCCTGATGGCGCTTGACCTGCTTCACCAGCGGTTCTTGGACCGCCCTCACCAGCTGTTTGCGCTGAAAGAAGACGCAGAAGAAGACCATGCAACGGAGGAATTATGTCAAATGTCTGCGGTGGAGGGAAAGAAACAGGTTGTGGTGCTGTGTTCGTGGGCTCCCCTACCATAGGGGTGTCGGGCGCAGATGACGGTTTTCGCAGCGGAGAGGCCGCGGTCGGTGACTTGGACGCCATTGCCGGCAAATCTCAGGCTAACGAATCTGGTATTGTACAACTTGGGGACGTTTCGGTTATCAATATGATAGTCACTGTGTCCAATGGGTAATATTAATGGAGTTATAGGGAAGAGTCGGAACGAGTCCAAGGCGGACGAGAACGCACGGGGAAAGACGATTAACTAAGGGAGAAGCGTGACGTCGGAGAAAGAGAAGGAAAAGACCAAAAGCGTCACCGGGAAGAAAGGCTGCCCCTCCCCCTCCATAGTAGTAATTATCATCCTGAAAGCGACAGCCATTGTTTTTCACCGGCCAGCCAATTCTTTTCTCTCTCTTTTTCTTTCTCTTTCTTCCATCCAGTCAATTCTCCTGACATCTAATTGTCGCTTCCTTTCTGTGAGTTACGTCGAATTATCCTCAATCATTTCACCCCATCAAAAATTGGTCGTTAAATTTGGACCATAAACTAACTCTCAGACTAGCTCCACAATGACCAAGGTTGACCAGAAAGTCGTTCTGAGTAAGCTATTTACGATAGTGTGCTACACCAAGTCGATCGCTAATGTTGAATAGTCGTCATCGACGGCTGGGGTATCCCAGGCCCCGACTCTCCCAAGGAGGGAGATGCGATCGCTGCCGCGGAGACACCCTACATGTCCGGCTTTGCCGAAGAGAACTCGAAGACCGCTCAAGGATATACCGAGCTGGATGCCTCATCGCTGGCCGTCGGTCTGCCAGAGGGTTTGATGGGCAACAGTGAGGTTGGCCATCTGAACATCGGTGCTGGCCGTGTCGTCTGGCAGGACAGCGTTCGCATTGATCAGACCCTCAAGAATGGTGAATTGAAAAAGGTCGACAACATTGTCAAGTCCTTCACTCGCGCCAAGGAGGGCAATGGTCGCCTGCACCTGCTGGGTCTGGTCTCCGATGGTGGTGTTCACTCCAACATCACTCACCTGGTTGGTCTGTTGAAGGTGGCCAAGGAGATGGAGATCCCTCAGGTCTTCATTCACTTCTTCGGTGACGGCCGTGATACCGACCCCAAGAGCGCTACCAAGTACATGCAGGACTTGCTCGATCACACCAAGGAGATTGGCATCGGTGAGATCGCCACGGTGGTTGGACGCTACTACGCTATGGACCGCGACAAGCGTTGGGACAGAGTCGAAGTTGGCATGAAGGGTATTGTCTGCGGCGAGGGCGAGGAGAGCTCTGATCCCGTGAAGACTATCAAGGAGCGCTATGAGAAGGGTGAGAACGATGAGTTCCTCAAGCCAATCATTGTTGGCGGCAAGGAAAGGCGCGTGCAGGGTATGTTTCTAAAGGAAATTGGACAACAGCCCGTTCGAAAACTGACTGTATCTTCCAGACGACGATACTCTCTTCTTCTTCAACTACCGTTCGGACCGTGTCCGTGAGATTACCCAGCTGCTGGGTGACTATGACCGCTCTCCCAAGCCCGACTTCCCTTACCCCAAGAACATCCACATCACCACCATGACCCAGTACAAGACCGACTACACCTTTCCCGTTGCCTTCCCCCCTCAGCACATGGGCAATGTCCTGGCCGAGTGGCTCAGCAAGAAAGACATCCAGCAGTGCCACGTCGCTGAGACCGAAAAGTACGCGCACGTTACTTTCTTCTTCAACGGAGGCATCGAGAAGCAGTTCCCTGGTGAGGTGCGCGATATGATCCCCTCGCCCAAGGTTCCTACCTACGACCATGAGCCCGAGATGAGCGCCGAAGCCGTCGGCAAGAAGATGGCCGAGCGCATTGGCGAGGGAAAATTCGAGTTCATCATGAACAACTTCGCTCCTCCCGACATGGTCGGTCACACCGGTGTGTACGAGGCCGCCATCAAGGGTGTCGCTGCCACCGACAAGGCCATTGGTGAAATCTACGAGGCTTGCAAGAAGCACGGATACGTTCTGTTCATCACCGCCGATCACGGGTAGGTTGCTCTCGTTTCCACCTTTGGCTTTCTCTTCCAGGCTAACATACATCTGTTTCCCAGTAACGCCGAGGAGATGCTCAACGAGAAGGGCACTCCCAAGACCTCTCACACGACCAACAAGGTTCCCTTCGTCCTTGCTAACGCCCCCGAGGGCTGGAGCCTCAAGAAGGAGGAGGGCGTCCTCGGAGACGTTGCACCCACCGTCCTCGCCGCCCTGGGCATCGAACAGCCCGAGGAGATGTCGGGTAAAAGTCTTCTGGTCAAGGCCTAGATCATTTATATATAGAATCTTTTCCTTTTTGTTCTAGAAAAAGGCTATTTCCAGCTGGTTATGGATCTATGAATCAAGATACTTTGTTTCTTTTTACACACAGAGACCGAATCTCAGAACGCCAAATGCGCCGGGTCCCAAGACATTTTTCCGGAACCTCCCATGCTGGTTCTACCTTCATCATCATTGGGTTGTCTTAGCACAAGTAGAAGAGATCCATGCAACAACCAGATCTCTAGAAATAGGATGAGAGGGGGAAAAAAAGGTAACAGAAGAATTAAGGAAGATCCCCATTTTAAACCCATGAAAACCCACTTTACGCGGCCTGCTCAAAACCCCGTCTGATCACGCGGCCGAACATGTCCACACCCACGCGCTCGCTCTTGACCTCGCTGCGCGCCTCGTTCTCCTTGTTCGTGGGCACCTTGACCACGGTGCCGTTGGGGCCAGCCTTGTCCACCTCCCAGCTGCAGACCTCGGTGACGAACTTCTCGAGCGCCTCGCGGCTGCGCAGGTCAAGCCAATGCTCCAGCACCTCGGCGTTGATCACCCGGAAGGCCTTGCCAACCTCGATGGCGATGCGGATGCGCACGAGCTCCTCGAAGCCGGCGACGTCGGCGACCAGGTCCGCGTACAGGTCATCGGAGTTCAGGGTCGACCAGAACTGGGCGTACTGGGCGGACTCGAGGAGGGTGGACAGGCGGGCGAGCTTCTGGACGGATTCGACGAAATCGGAGGTCTGGGAGGCGTCGCTGTTGGCGGCGGGGAAGGGCTGGGTGTGGGCGGGCAGGAGGGCAAGGCAGAGGGAGAAGGCGGGCGAGGGGAAGACGGTGAGGGCCTTGGCGAGGATGTTGGTGACGGTTTCGGGCTGGAGGAGGTGAGGGTTGAATTGGTAGCTGTTTGGAGGGACCTTTTGTCAGTAACGGAAGTATATGACCAAGTCGGGCAATAAAGCTAGCTGATGAGACAGTTTTTGTTCTCAGAACATGTTGCTTTTTCTCGACATTCATCCCAGGGGGATGTCAGGTAATAGGAAACGTGATTATGAAGAAAAACAAGGTTGTTCATCATGTTCGTCCCATGCGATCTGAACACCCCCGCGACGAGGAATCCAGGCAAGCGCGGTGTTGGAGAGCAACAGGCGAAATAACTCACAGCTTCAGCAGAGCAATATTGGCATAGCAGTCGAATGTGCGCTCTTCGCATTGCTGGACAACATAGTCTTGGAATACTGTGGTGGTCTCGGGGTTGTATCTGTCCAGGCCGTTGAGGATGGCGTCGATATGCGCCGGCCGCGTCTCACACTTGTCAAAAGTGACACCCATTTTGTTGAGTCGGTCGTGGGAGGGTATGGAGAGGAGGAGTTGAGGAGGTTCAGCTGGCACAGACGGCGGCAATGAAGGCGGGTTTATCGTGATCGCTATAGCGGGATGTTCTTTTTTTGGTGGGTTTTTTGGGATGTCTGTTCTGCTGTGCGGCGGTCGATCGGAGGAACTATCCATGAACGTATAGTTTCTCCGCTACCCCGTTCGGTACAACAACCAACTTATGCATCAGGTTGTCGACTTTGGGATATGGTCTGGTTGATCATGTCTTACCCCGCAGGTTGATGATGAACCCGAAGCTTGCTTCACCGTTTGATGCGTCGTTATTCCCGGTCACCCCTCTCTTGTTCAGAATGATATGCGTCCAGGTCACATTCCTGTTTCGCCGGAGGATATGCGGCGGGCAGGGCTATATATGGATGCTCTGCCTTTGGATTCTTGAATGTTGTTAGATTGATTTTTTTGTCCAGTGTCAAGGGAATCCTTCTAGAATAGATCTACGACGCATTACAATTGCAAAATCTGTCTCAAATCATGCGACTTCTTCTTAGTCAAACGTTTCACTGGCTTTTGGCTTTAGCAGCGACGACTTCTGCGTCGTCCCCTGTCGATTACACACAGTATGTAAATGCTCTGATGGGGTCAGAAGGCCCGTTTCCCGGCAAAGGCTACGGAGGAGGCGACATATTCGTCGGAGGCGCGCGACCCTTTGGAATGGTCAAGATGGGAATAGACACGACGGCCGCAAACTGGAGCATTGCGGTGCTGAACGGTGGCTGGACGCCTGATGGCAATGTGACGGCGATCAGTATGTGATTTGCTCGAAAATCCGGTGGTCATTCTTCACTGACGTGTCCCAGGCATGATGCATGAAAGCGGGACAGGAGGTGCTCCGAAATATGGGCTCATTCCGCAGATGCCTCTGACAAGTGTGTCGCCTCCTGTTAATATCCTGGATAACCTCACGTACAGTCAGCCCAGAGTCGGTCAGGATACGGCCGGTGTAGGCTATTTCAAGACCCAGCTGCAGAACGGTGTCCAGGTAGAGCTTTCTGCTTCCAGTCACGCCGGTATTGTTCACTACTCGTTTCCTCAGGGCGAGAAGCATGTGCTCGTGGATGTATCTCACTATCTGCCCGGTGATCCTGGAGACGCGAATGGCCAATACTATGTTGGCGGAGAGATCAAAATTGAAGAGCACGGTAGGGCTTACAGCGGATATGGGACGTACGTCGGCGGATGGAACAATGGAGCTCCCTTCACGGTCTATTTCTATGGAGAATTCTCCGACAATTCTACAATGGCTCGGACCTTCACTGGAGCAAATACAGATCCCATACCACGCTACCAGACTCTCGCTGGCGCTATAGGAGAACCAATATACGGTAACGTAACGGATGAGGCAACATCGGGGCCTATGAATGATCGTGTTGGCGCTCTTTTCAGCTGGGACCAAAAGGCAAATCCA